AAAGTAGTGAAAACATAGAGGAAACAAGACTGGCAAAATGTTGATGATTGTAAGACCAATTACATGGGAGTTTGTTATCTAACTACGTCAATGTCCCTGTTTGAAATTTTTCCAAATACGAAGTTTAAAATATATAATAAAATTTGATATCTCAGTTACCTACAGGGCTGGGTAGAGAAGAAGCTAACTTCTCTTTCTTTTGTAAACACTCTGCTCACATGATTGAAAATGCTGCCTGCTCTCTAACAGCCATAGTTTTACAAAAATTTATTTAAGTAATAAAACTTGAAAGTTGAAATTACTCTGTAATACATGGGCTGCAGAATGGATGTTGTGTTAGGCGTGAAAACAACGTAATATCTACAAAGCATAAAAAAGTGCAACACAACAAAACAAGATATGCTTGTTGCATCTTTTACAGACCGTTTGTGGCAATTCAGTGTCAAGCAAGTCTGTTGGCACCATTTTTCCAACAGCACTTGCTTACTTCATGTGAGTGTGGGTGTCACATTATAGTCACTCTTGCAATATTTCAAACTTTTCCATTGTTATGGTGATCTGTGATCAGCTATTCACGTTACTATTGTAATTGTTTTAGGGCACCATGACGGTTGCAAAGGTTTTGCCATAAGTGTACTTTCTATACTGTACGTTGCCTAAACTATTTATAGATAAATCTACACTACTTTGGATCACCAACTGAAGGTGAACGGCATTCATTGTCTGAACTGACCCAAGTCCAAGATCTGAGCTTGCTCAATGAGACTGGAACAGGTATAAAGAATGGGTGACAGAGTAGCTTTATCTTTATCCCTGGACAGAGCCACTCTGAAGTATGTATAACTGTTAATTTCCTAGCTAACACCGCCAAGCCACGATGAAATGTAACATCTGGAAGAAAAAAAAAAAGAGAATCACGCACTTGTAACCGATGAAGTCAGAATCATCGGGGGTGGTTCCAGGCATGTCTTTTCAAAGATTTGTTATTATTCCTTGAAAGCTCCCCAGCTTATTCTAATGCGCAGGCAGGGGCGAGAAGCGCTGGGCTCCAGTCTCTAAGGGGACTGGCTGGGTTCTTACGTCTCCAACAGGGCCTCCAGGGCTGGCCGGGAGACCACAAGAACGACACTAAATTAAAAACAAAGCGGGTGCGAGGGAACGGGCAGGCCCGGCCGTGGGCGCCCGCTGGCCGGGACCGCGGGCAACCGCGGGAGGGGCGCCC